GTGCGTCCGGGACCCCCGAACTCCCCGGACCCCCTTCCGCTGCCCCCTACTCCCATCCCTCCAAACCTCCGATCCCCTTGAACTCCCCCGGTCCCCACCCAGGGAAACGATGGGAGATGGAGCCTGTGGTGGGTGCGTGGGGTGGCCCCGGGTTCCCCTAAACCTCTCCCCCGGGATCCTCGGTGCCTCTGAACTCCCTCCCAACCCCCCTGAAGCCCCCAGGCACCCCTGAACTGCCCTCAGTGCCCTACCCCCGATCCCCAGAACCCCTCCGGGACCCCTGAACTGCCCTCAGAGCCCAGAGCCCAGACCCCCTTGAGGCTCCCCATAACTCCTGAACTCTGCCCATCCAGACCCCACTGATCACCCCCAGTTCCCCTTGGGGCAGCAGAGGGACTCAGGTCTGTGCTGGGTGTGTGGGGTGGCCCTTAGGGTGGCCTTTTCCCTCAGTGTCATGGAGCGGTGTCCTCTGTGTCCTGGGTTTCAGGGGTTCCCCCCTCCAAGGGAAGGTTCTGAGGTGTCCCAGGGGACACAGGGGTGCTGTGGCCCCCCTTTCCCAGCCCTCTCCCTGTCCCCAGGCGCCTCTGCATCCTCAAGGGGATTTACCCCCACGAACCCAAACACAAGAAGAAGGTGAACAAGGGCTCCACGGCCCCCAGGACCTTCTACCTGCTCAAGGACATCAAATTCCTGCTCCATGAGCCCATTGTGAACAAATTTCGGGAATACAAGGTATTTATGCCACCCAAGGGGCCCCTGGGGCTCGTCCTGTGCCACAGAGCTCCCACATGCCCCTGTCCCCCCAGGTGTTTGTCCGGAAGCTCCGGAAGGCATACGGGAAGAGCGAGTGGGGCACTGTAGAACGGCTGAAGGACAACAAACCCACCTACAAACTCGACCACATCGTCAAGGAGAGGTGAGGCAGCCCTGGCAGAGCCGCCTGGAGCATCCACCTCTGGGGGCCTGCACAGGAGGGACCTGGAGCTGCTGGAGCCAGTCCAGAGGAGGCCACGGAGCTGCTCCAAGGGCTGGAGCCAGGCTGGGAGAGCTGGGGGTGCTCACCTGGAGAGGAGAAGGCTCCAGGGACACCTCAGAGCCCTTTCCAGGGCCTAAAGGGGCTCCAGGAGAACTGGAGAGGGACTGGGGACAAGGGATGGAGGGACAGGACACAGGGAATGGCTTCCCACTGCCAGAGGGCAGGGATGGATGGGATATTGGGCAGGAATTGTTCCCTGTGAGGGTGGGCAGGTCCTGGCACAGGGTGCCCAGAGCAGCTGGGGCTGCCCCTGGATTCCTGGCAGTGTCCAAGGCCAGGCTGGCCAGGGCTTGGAGCAGCCTGGGATAGTGGGAAGCATCCCTGCTCATGGCAGGAGTGGCCCTGGATGATCTGTAAGCTCCCTGCTAACCCAAACTATCCTGGGTTTCTTTGGTCGTTCACCACATCCGTCCCTCTCTGGGAATCCACCTCATGCACAATTTCTGGAGTTTTTGATGGAGTTTTTTGTTTCTGGGCTGGAGAAGTAGGAATGAGAGAGCAGGGAATGCCCAGCCATCCTGGGTGGCTCCAGGGGAACACAGGGAACTCCCCTGCTCTCCCTGTGGGGCATTTTCCTCAGAGGGCTGGTGAAGGGTTAATGCTGCCGAGGCTTTGATGAGTTTGCTGACAGTGAGAAAAGAGGGGGACAGAGGAGGGAGGAAACCCCGTAAGTCTGATGGGTCCTTTCCTAAATGAGGATATTCCATTGTTCTCTGACTGGTTCTGCTGGGATGTGCCAGTGGGTGCTCCCCAGTTCCCATTCCTTTCTCACTCAGGGTCTCCCCCAGCCCCAGCAGCTTTTGCAGGGCTCTGGGGCTGGGTGTGACCCCTCCCCCTTGTCCCTCACCTGGGCACAGGTACCCCACGTTCATCGATGCCCTGCGGGACCTGGACGATGCCCTGTCCATGTGTTTCCTGTTCTCCACCTTCCCCCGCACCGGCAAGTGCCACGTCCAGACCATCCAGCTGTGCCGGCGCCTGGCCGTGGAGTTCCAGAACTACGTCATCGCCTCGCGCTCCCTGCGCAAGGTGGGGGCTGTGGGGAGCTGCCTTTGGGCACTGGGAGCCACTGGGATGTCAGATCATGGATCCCACTGGGATCTGGCACTCCCTGAGGAGCCTCCTGCCGAGGGAAGGGGTGACAGTGACAGGGACACAGCGATCTTCCTCTGCTCTGTCTGCCAGGTGTTCCTCTCCATCAAGGGCATCTACTACCAGGCAGAGGTGCTGGGGCAGCCGATCACCTGGATCACCCCCTACACCTTCGCCCACGACGTGAGTGCCTGGGACGAGCCTGGGGGATCTCCAGGGAAGGGCTGAGGGACCGGCCCCTGGCAGATGAGGCTGTGCCCAGCCTGTGGTGAGAGCACAGGGCCTGGCTGCAGAGGCACGTGGGGACACAGCCCTCTGTCACCTCGGGATCCCCGGGGCTGCCTGTACCAGTCTCCGCAGTTCCCCGTGCCCTCGATCATCAATGCGCTCCTTTATCAGCCATTAAAGATTAACCTGCGGGAGCGACTGAAGTGGAGGGCAGGGATGAGTCAGATCTGCAGCCTCCCCAAGGGGATTCTGCTGTCTCCCCCAGGCAGCAGGGCAAGGGGAGGTCCCCACTGGTCTGGGACAACTTCCCCTGAGCCTTGGCAGGAGGTCACAGGCACGGCAGGGCCCTCTCCATTCACTCACAGGATTTCCAGGCCTGGGCACGGTTGGGTTGAGGCTTTGTGGTTTTATGGTTCTGAATCATAGAACCCTGGAATGTTTTCAGTTGGAAGGAATCTTACACTCCATCTCATTCCACCCCTGCCATGGACAGGGACACCTTCCATTGGACCAGGTGGCTCCAAGCCCCATCCAAGCTGGCCTTGAACACTTCAGGGATCCAGGGGCAGCCACAGTTTCTCTGGGCACCCTGTGCCAAGGCCTTATCATCCTCACAGGGAGGGATTCCTTCCCAATATCCCATTTATCCCTGCCTTCTGTCAGGGGGAAGCCATTGCCCCTTGTCCTTGTCCTGCTCTTGTCCAGCTCTGCCATACCCTGTACTCTTTACCTTGAAGAGTTGGAGTTCCTGGACCAAACCCCAAGGTCCACATGGATGATGGGATGAAGTGTTCCATGAATCCAAGCATAGAGGGGTGGCAGCAGGACCCTGGGGGAAGCCTGCAGAGTTCTCCCTGCCCACAGTCAGGCAGTGGCTGTGGCATCTCTGCAATTGGGGCATGTTTAGGCTGGAGATCAGGGCAAGGTTCTTCCCCCAGAGGTGCTGGCACTGCCCAGGCTCCCCAGGGAATGGGCACGGCCCCGAGGCTGCCAGAGCTCCAGGAGCGTTTGGACAGCGCTGCCAGGGATGCCCAGGGTGGGGTTGCTGCGGGGTCTGGGCAGGACAGGAGGATCCTGTGAGTTCCTTTCTAAATGGGGATATTATGTGATCCTTCTCCCTGTGGGTGGGGTGGGCCCCTGTAGAGGGACGTCCTTTTATCCCTGTGTCCCCCCATCCCGTGTGCTGGCAGCACCCCACAGATGTGGATTACCGGGTCATGGCCACCTTCACCGAGTTCTACACCACCCTCCTGGGCTTCGTCAACTTCCGCCTCTACCACTCCCTGAACCTGCAGTACCCCCCCAAGGTGAGGCCACCACCCTGGGGTCACCGTGTCCCACCCTGGGGTGGCAGCAATGCGGAGTGGTGGGAGGGAGGGTGGACATGAGGGATTTTTGGGATCTCTGTTTTTGGGAACTGCTTCCACACTGTTTTTCCTCCCCAGATTGACAGCCAGGCTGAGGATGAGCTGAAGCCTGCGGAGGGCAAGGAGTATGCAATGGATTCAGAGAGCTACCTGGAGGTGAGGGACACTGCTGGCACTGTGACCCACGGGGATGCTGTGTGGCCTTTGTGTCCTGCCCACAGCCCTCCTGGTATGGCACTGAGAGACAGAGGCACATCACTGCAGGGTGGAGGGGGCTGATCCCAAACTCCCTGTTCGTGTAAGGCAGAGCTGGGCTCAGCCTCAGGCACCAGTGGCCTCCCCCTGCATGGCCAGGGACACCCCCAAGTCCCATGCTGGGGACAGTGCCTGGAGGAGGCTGAATTCTGTACAGGCCCTGGCTCTTCTGGCCTCTTGCTCTGAGAAATCCCATTCTCCCATGGGGCTGCCCCTTTTCCCACCCCCTGGATGTGACTCTGTGTCCTCTCCCTGCAGAGGCTCTCAGCTCTGAGCGCCAGCCTGGCCCGGGTGGTGGCTCCAACCCACGAGGATGAGGTGGAGATTGATGAATTCCCGGTAGAGGGGGTAAGATCCTGGTGGGGGGCTCATCCCTGGCCTGGCTGAGGAGAGGGGATCCTGTTCTGTGCCCAGGCTGGCGGTTTGGGACAGCTCCTGAGAGCCCCCTTTGCCAAGGGGGGCTTGGCAAGGGCTGTGTGTGAGGAGGAGGCTGAGGGCTTTGCTCTGAGCAGGAGACAGCAGAGCTGATGGATGCCAAGAAGAAGGAGCAGGAGGCTCTGGAGAAGCACAAGAAGCTCTTTGAGGGACTGCGCTTCTTCCTCAACAGGGAGGTGCCCCGGGAGCCGCTGGCCTTTGTCATCCGGTGCGTGGTGGGCACGAGACCCTCGGCAGCCCTGGCCTCCCCCTCTGGCAGGACTTTTGGGACCCACCCACCTGATGTCCTGTGGGTGGGGTGACCCTGAGGCTCCCACCTGCCCCCCTGACTCCTCAAGGCATTGTCCACAGGAGCTTTGGTGGCCAGGTGTCCTGGGACAAGTCCCTGTGCATCGGTGCCACCTACGACGCCGCCGACCCGTCCATCACCCACCACATCATCGACCGGCCCCGCGTGGACAAGCAGGTGGTTGGCAGGTGGGTGAGGCAGGGGTGCCCTCCCCACAACAGCCATCCCAGAGCTGTCCCATGGGCACCCGAGCCTGAGGTGGGACCCCTCTGCCTCGCCCAGGTACTACCTGCAGCCCCAGTGGGTTTTTGACTCGGTCAACGCCAAGCTGTGCCTGCCCGTGGCTGATTATTTCCCCGGGGTCCTGCTGCCCCCGCACCTCTCGCCCTTCGTGACAGAGAAGGAGGGTGACTATATCCCTCCTGAGAAGCTGAAGCTGCTGGCCCTGCAGAGGGGAGAGAATCCAGGTGCTGGGAGCCCTCAGAGGAGTTTGGGAGCTGGGCTGTGCCTGCTGCAGAGCATCCCAAGGGTAATGGTGGTGTCTCCTTGTAGATGAAGAGAGTGAAGAGGAGGAGGAGGAGGAGGAGGAAGAGGAAGGTGGCAATGACAAAGAAGAGGAAGAGGAAGATGAGTCTGAAAAAGAAGAGGAATTGAAATTACAGAAGATGGAAGAGCAAAGGATGGAAGAGCAGAAGACTCAGAGCACTGAGAACAAAAAGGTGGGAGCCCATGGAGGCAACTCTGGTGTCACTGTCCCTGCTGAGGGGTTGTCCCTGTCCTGGGACCGCTGGGACACTCAGTCATGGAATGGTTTGGCTTGGGAGGGGCCTTAAAGCTTATCTTGCTCTGCCATGGACAGGGACACCTCCCACTGCCCCAGGTTGCTCCAAACCCTGTCCAGCCTGGCCTGGAACACTTCCAGGGGTGCTCTTGGCCCCACATTCAAGAGCTGCAGCTCCCATCCCTGTCAGGGCCTGCTGCAGGTCCAGAGGGAGCTGTGGCTGTCCCTGTCTCACAGTGAATGGGCTGGAAATGCCTGTCCCTGTGGAAGGAGGGTGGGTTCCCTGTATCCTGAGCTCCCTGGCTCCCCACAGGTGCTTCCTGTGAAGGTGACAGCAGGGAAGGTGTGGGTGGAGGACAAGCAGCGCCTGGAGCAGGAGCAGCAGAGCGAGGAGAAGCGCTTGGCCATCATGATGATGAAGAAGAGGGAGAAGTACCTCTACAAGAAGATCATGTTCGGGAAGAAGCGCAAAATCCGCGAGGTATGGAGACTGGGCCCCTCACCTACATCCTGGGACGGGCTCTTCCCAAACCCACTTGTTCTTTCCACTCCTCCCTGTCCCTGGTGAAGGTCCCTCCCAGTGTCCCCAGGCTGCCCCATGGTGGGCCAGAGCTCCGTGTGCCCCCTCACGGCCGTGGCTCCTGCAGCCACTTTCCATATCCCATCCCTGATCCCTGTGCTGTGGGGTCCATCCTCCACGTGCAGCTGGAGCTGTGGTGGGACCAGGGGGCTGCAGCCCCTGTCCTGCTCTGACTGAGGGTCTCGGGGGTCTCTCCCCAGGCCAACAAACTGGCTGAGAAGAGGAAAGCCCACGATGCAGCCCTCAAGGAGCAGAAGAAGAAGAGCAAGAAGGCGCGACAGGCGTGACCGGGCCAGGGGCTCCTGGATGGTTTTCCACTGCTACTTTTGGGTGGAAAGCCCTTGGCTTTGCTCCTGGGACAGAAAGGCTGGGTTTGAAATGTATCCCATCTGTAAATACACCTGCTGCTCTGCTGTTCCCTTGGTGCCCTCTGCAGAATGGGTGTTACAAGGACTGTTGTCTCCATGCTAGTGCCACCTCTGCGTGAGGAAGAGGAGGCCAAGAGGAGCTCTGGGATTGTTCCGTGTGAATTTGCACAGCCCTGGGTGCTGGAGCCTGGCTCCCAGGAGCACCCCAGGGCAGAGGGAGTGTGGAGCCCAGATCTGCTTCCCAGTATCCACACAGAACCATATTCCCTTGTATTTTTATTTTTAATTAAAGAAGGTGACACTTTCCTGGTGGTGTTTGTTGTCTGCTCCTTCTGCCTGGGCAGACATCAGGGGGTGATGTGGATGGATGTGGAGATCCATGGCTGATGCCAGGGTTGCTGATCCTTCTGGATGTGTTTGTGACAGCAGTGTTCCATCAATCCTCAGTTTTCCCCGCAAAACACCTTAGAAACACTACAGCTGGGGACAAGCTCATGGGGTTTATGGACACACCTTTGCCCCCAAATGTGGTGAAGGCTGTGTCTCACTCTGAGGAATTTTTGGAGGACACCCCTGGCACTGCTGTGGAGACACGGAGAGGATCCAGGGAGTGACAGCCCCAGGAAGGGAGTGAGCTCAGATGGGGAACAGCTGGGAATAGCCAGCTCAAAGGACTTTCAGATTTTGTTTCCTTTCCTAGATTTTTTTTTTCCCAATTTTTTTCTTTTTTTTTTTTTCTTTTCAATTTGGTTTAAGTTCTTTTTTCTTTTCACCATTTCCATTCTCCTCTTTATTTTCCATTTTTTTCCAGTTTTCTCTTTTTTCATTTTTTCTGTCTTTCCATTTCCTTTTTACTATTCTTTTTATTTTTATTGTTTCATTTTTATTTATTTTTCCCCTTCACTCATTCCCCCTCTTTTGCTCTGTTGTCCCTCCCATTTTTTTCCCCCCGTTTTTTTATTTTTTCCCCCCTTTCCAGAGGGTTGGAAGGCTTTTCCGTTTCTTATGTTTTTATCCTTGCTTTCCCCTTCCATTCCCCTCTCCCAAGAGGAGCAGGAGTGATCCCAGGGCCGGGGCTCCCCTCAGAGCGGGAGAACCTGAACAAGGCCTCAACCCCTGGGAGCCGCCGATTCCCACCCAACCCAAACAAACAAACCCCAGCTTCCGAAAACCTCATCTCCAAACAAGCCCCAGCTCCCAAAATCCCTGCTCCCAACAAACCCAGCTCCCAAAATCCCTGCTCCAAACAAGCAAGCCCTGGTTCCAAGCACACGGCTGCAGGCCTCCCTCCCAAGGCCTGGCTGAGGGCCTGGGCTGGCCGGGCAAGGCCGGTGCTGGTGGCCACAGGCCGCTCTGGCTCCCCGGGGCCTCTCTGCCTGATAAAAGTGTGTGTCCAGCCAAGTGTTGACCCCTCAGTGTTACCTCCCCCTCACCCAATCCCTCAGGATCCCCTGCTCCCCTGGGATCCACAGCTCCGGCCATCGCAGCTTTCAGTGAGTGCTGCTTTGTACCCCCACCCGGGCTCATCCCGGGGGGGATGAGCTGGTGGAGCCCTCCTGGGCTCCCCCTGTGGGATGTGGGACATGGTGGATGCGGGACATGGGGTGTTGTGGCTTCCCAGCTCCATCACATCCGTCCCCAGGCTATCAGTGTTCCGTGGCTGAGTTGCCACATACTGGCCACTGCAGCGCTCTTGTGGATGGAAACCCTTTACCCCTTCCCAAAAAAACAGGAAACCTGGGAACACTGTGTGACCCATTCCAAAATCAAAAAAAGGGAGAGTGGAAATTGGAAAACCTTCGCAATCCATCCCCCCCAAAAAAACCACAGGGGAATCCTGGAATCCCTTCATAACCCACCACCAAAAAGGGGAGAAACTTGGAATCCTTTTGTGACCATCCCAAAAAAGAGGTAGAAACCTGGAATTAGGAGAGGTATAGGCAGAGAAGGGGTGGGACAACTCATTGCTCCCACGCACCAATTCCACAGCAAACCCTGTGACTGTGATTACTTGTCTTCACCCCTCCTCTTGCAATGATGATGATGATGACAATGATAATGATGATGATGGAAACAGAGCTGTTCTGGCTTTTCCTGATCCTGGAGGGCTGTGCAGGTCACCCTGGTGAGGTCAGGCAGGATGGGGGCAGCTGTCAGAGATGAGGCAAGAGCTGCCAGCTCACTGCAAGGTGATGTCTGTAAATCCTGTGGGGGCAAGCTCTGAACCCCAGACACTGATGGTGAATCCCAGGCGTGGTCACCCCTTGTTTGGGGACCCAAGGCCGACATCACCCCCTTTAGGGACAGAGACCCAGATCTGAGGGCAGCGGGAAGAGGCTGGATCCAGGAGCACAAGAGCCCCTTTTTCACCCTGCCAAATGCAGGGTGATGGACCAGCGACAGGGCTGAGCCCTCCTGGTGTGCCCAGGGCACCCTCTGGCCACCCAGTCGGCTGCCATGACTGGAGGAGGGTGGAAAGACTGGCGGCTCCATGGCTGCTCCACAGTTGTCACCCCAAGGCTGGATTTGTCAGAATATTGCTGTCATTAAGGCCATAAATCCATGGAAACATAGTGGGAGGAGGGAGGAAGGAGGGCGGGGAAGCTGTGGGAGAATGAAAAGGAGCTGATGGTGTGTGGCCAGGGTGCCCCGGGGAGCAGGCAGCTGGGACAGGGTGCAGGAGCGAGCTCCCCAAACCCAGGTGAGCTCTGGATGCGGGAGGTGATGGCCAGGCCATGAGCTGCCCCGTGGGACGAGGAGGACGGTGGCTGGCGAGAAGTGGGTGCTACCGCCCAGGGACAGCCGTCGTCACCCGGGGCTGTGGGGCCCAGCCAGGCTGGTGGCGGGGAGCCGAGGGGCCGGCAGTGGGGCCAGCGGGGACAATGTCCCCGTTGAGGCCACGGTCGCAGATGGAGACAAATGTCCCCGTTGTTCCCGGCGCGGGCTGAATGGCTCCTCTGTGCCCCGGCAGTGGGTGGGGGCCGGGTGGCTCGCGGTGGCCGCAGGCACCC